GACTGATAAAGTCCATCAAAACATGTTGGCTAAGTTTTCCTTTTACAGATATATTTTTAGTTATATTTGAAATTTTATGTGTGTGTGTAAAATTTCAGATAGAATACATCTATAAAAAGACAATAGGAATAAAGACAAAAGGAAAACTTATCTTCGCCGACATATTTCATCTTCTGAGTAGATTTAGACATTTCATTATATCAGGAATAAGCAGTGCCCCACATAAACAAAATTATAACTCCATTTCTTGGTAAAATTAGCTCCTTGCATATAGAAACTCTGGTAATCTTTTAAATAAATTAAAAACAGACATAAAAAAACAAATGTATGACTAGTTTAGATATATAAAATCTTTATACACAAATGTTCCTGTAAAGAAATATCTAAATTTACTAAAATACACTTAACTAAAACAATAAAATTACCTATCTGTACACATAATACCATAAAAATGTACCATTTAATCAATAATCAATGTTTTCTCATCTGAGTCTAACAACACTTTACCCTTCCTAAATATGCTGCAGAGAAGTAATAACAAACTTCAGTTTAAGGTTTACAGAAAACCTTGCCAACAAGAATTACCTCATTACTTTGTATTCCCACCACTGTAACAAGATTAGATCTGGAATAATTATAGGATTCTACTTAAGAGCACTAAAATCTGTAACCCCCCGATACTTACCCAAAGTAGAAATATACATAGAAAACACTTTCAAAACCGCCAATATTCTTATTATTTCATCCACAATACTAAAAGAAAGATGTACAAAATATACAACCGCAAAAAAGAAAACAACATAATTAACAGTAACAATAACAATAAACTAGATAAAAACAGATGAAAAAATACCTACAAACTGTGTAACATCCACTATCCAAAACACTTTATCCAATCTTAACATCAAAATAATTACAACCACATCCAAAACTATTATGGATAGGATCAGAACCCAAAATACCCATAACAATAACAATTCTGAATAAACTGTCAAGACTACTTCTCATGACAGAGTAGGGAAATTTGCAGAAATTTATAAAACACATATAAACACAAAAGGGATCTTAATACAAATGCATTAGTTATACATAGAAATAAATTCAAACACAACTTTGATCTAAAGAATGCCACAAAGACTATTAAAAGAAAAAGTAACTTACTTAGGCAGTAAATTTTCAAGAGCGCTGTTGTTGAATCTTATCAAAATATAAATCAGCACCCTGGATTTTTTCAAATATCTCCTTTCCTGAAAGAATTACTCTTTTCCCAAGCCAACATAGATGACTACAAAAATGTTAAATAAATCAGGAAACTGTTAAATTCATAAATTCCTGTTATTTAAAATATATAACAAACAAATTAATCCAAAACTAAAATAATATAATATTAATTTGCATATATATAAAAAAAAAATTTCAAGAAAATCTTTTACTCACTTTCAGTTATTAGACAACAAATTATGACTCTTATCATCCTCCACAACTTACATAGCCTTTCCAGCTATTATGATAAATATTTATGAGCATTTCTTAAATTTTAAAATTAAAAAAAAATCATTTTTTTCTCTTGCCTATAGATACTTGTTATAAAATGAGATCCTTGCATTTGCCTTGATAAAGCCCTTCACAGGATGAAATGTGTCAGCTAAGTTTTCCTTTTGTTTATATATATGTGTGCAAATATATAGAAAAATAGGAAAGAACATGTTAGGTAAATAATCTGAAGTTCTTTAGTATTTTTTTTTATTTTTAAAAAACAGTGCTAAATACAAAAGTAGAGCCTAAATTATATAATTATAATTATTTTCTTAAAAATATGATTCTTTTGTTACATAAGAGTTCTCATGTTTCAAAAACAAGAGCCAAAAGCTCTGTTTCATCCTCAAGCGAAATTTTTTTGAATAACTAATCCTGAAGTGTACGCATCTTTATAAGCATATTCATTCATAGAATTACTATGGAAATGACTGAAGTGACCAGTCCAATATGGAGCGTAAGAGTTAATTTGTATCAACATATCATTCACCTCCGGAAAGAGGCCAAGCTGAGGCAGGGCTGGGGCGTGCATTTCAAAATGAATGATGATATTCCTATATGCACATTGTTTAGTCCCTCTTAGCGGCAGATTGGCACCATTGTACACCGTTAAGTGTCTAAAGATTTTTTTTTTTCTAAAAGGGCTGTTCGTACATAAACTCAACACATTGAACTACAATTTGTTTTTTTGACTTCATAAAGGGTTTTTTATCTTGTGATTTTAAGCCTTTAAACCCTTTATTAGGCCATGAAATTTAAAATTTTTTTTTATGCTAATTATTTAATGCGAAAATTTGTTGATGTCAGCAAAAATATATATATATATATATAATGATGTTAAATATTTTGAAGATATTGGTAATAGAGAACTCTCATTCATAACTGATCATTTTCAAGATAGTAAATTTAGTATAGTCTATAGATGTTTCTGTAGATATGCATCGTGCTTCTTTGGTGCTATTCAATAGTCATGTGAGTTTTTTGAGACTCCGACTAATGGTTATATATTGGTGCCTGTAGATGTATTTCTGGATGTTATTTTTACCCTTCCATTTTGGTTTTGCATTTCATGTTTCTTTATTCTATAAGCATTGAGAACTGTTGGTTTTTGTTAAGGTACATGTATGTATTTTTTTTCTATGCCAATACAAAGCCTAAAAAGGCTTTGTATTGGCATGGTTTATTTTTGGTACCTTCACAACTCTTAGTTTATTCCACGTGTGTGTGTGCATATATACATACACACTGACCTACACAAGAAATAAAAAGTGTCAATCTGTACATAAATAAATGAATTATCATATAAAGCATTAACTTCACAACCGTGTGTATTTGCATTGTCTTCTCACAACATTAACAAGAAATTTTAGATGAAAATCTAATTTAAGTCTCATAATGAAAAGCCTTTAAGGTTGTATAATTTAACAGTGAAAATAAATATGAAGCCAAAACAAATTAATGTCTTTGACACAACAGATGAATAGATAATTTAATGAGATTAACAAGGTTTTAAAATAAAGGTCTAATTTAGGTTTAAATATCTATAGCTTTGGAAGGAAATCTTTTACAAATTAATATAAAAAATAGATATAGAAACAATTTTGTCTTTGTATTCCAGATGGCAGGCAAAATTGTGTCATAAAACCAATCTTTATTACTAATAGACACAGAGCAAAGTATTTGATAAGAATTATTCCAAATAAAAAACTTAAGTAAAAGATGAGGAAATTCTTTGAGGAGGAGATTAAAACTTAACAGCTTCATTTAAAGCAAAATATTCAAAATAAAAAAAAGGAAAAAAAAAAAAAAAGATTCCTCTCAGAAGAGCAATATTATACATATTTCAATGATGTCCCCTTATTTGATCGATGACTTTCACTGCATTTCATGTCATATAAGATATACTTTTACCAAAAATTAGCCAAAATAAAAAAAAAATTACCATTTTATATGTGAAGTTGAGTCCTCCCAGAGGCTAATTTTATCCTCAACACTCATTACTGTAGATTATAATTTAACCTCAGGCAGTCACCTTTACTTAGCTTGACCCCATAATAATATTATTTATATTACTAGTCTGACACCTATCCTACAAACAGAGAAAAGTAAGTTATAATGTTTTATTACTAATGAAAAATAATTTAACAACAGACTATCTAAACAACTTTGTAATGTTTTTATTAATTATAATAAAAATTCATCAAACCTAATTTAAGACTGTTTTTGTGTCCAAACAGGGTTTTGCTGGCTGGGTGCTAAGGGTCACATGGCTGTCCAAACATTGCATATTTCAATTGACGAAGAGGAAGTAAAATTAACAAAAAATTTCAAAGGTCAAGTATTTTATAAAGAGATCAACAATCAAAAACCCAGGTCTACCATATTTTCTTGTGTATAATATGATCCCATGTTTTAGAAACTAAAAACGGAATAAATTACAAGCATGAATATAATATGATCCCATAGTTCAGCCATGTCTATGTAATTTTTTTTTTTAAAGTTGTATCACATTATCTGTTAAGGTCTCAATGTCATATCCATATAAATTATTGTGATATTTTGTGATTTAAAATTACAAGTACCAATGTACATTATTTATAGTGATATAATTATGTTGGGGTTGTTTACATATCTATTTTGCATAATTTATAAACTGTTTTCAAACTGGATACTTTGTTTCAAAAAACATAGGAATATGAAGCAACAACCTCACAGTATGGGAATCATCACCCCTATTTTCCAAGCATTTTGTCTGGGATAAAGGCATAGTATCTGTTCTCTTCTTATTTTAGATGGGAGAAGGTGCTTAGTTCCAGGTATTGCAACCCTGCAGTTACAGTTTCCTTATTGCATTAAGAGAGGTTGGGTTACTGTAATATCGATGCCAGCATAACAGTGGTTGCTGGCAATTTTTGTCCATGACCCATATGCATTTTCATGTGTATGGGCTCCCCATATTAAAAAGACCTTATGTCATATCCTGCCCAAGTGGGGAGATTGAATGAATCATTGACCCATTTTTCAAACGGAAAAATTTTAAAAAGTACATCATTTATACGATAGTTAAACCTTTTTCCCTTTTTTTTTTAATTGTTTCACCACAGCAAGGTGATAATGGCACTAGAATTCGGGGGGGGTAAATTTATTCAACAACATTAATTTCACTTACTTAATTTTTTTCTTCAATTAAATATGAAAAAGTTATTTTATTTACATCTTTTTCAAATAAATTTGGTTAAAATGAAATTACAATTTGGTATATTTAAATAATTCTGTAATGTTTTTATTGACAATAATTAAAAATAATTTAAGTTTAATAATAATAATAATAATAATTCCTCAAACTTACTATTTCATGGGCTTATAATCACATCATGTTGAAACAATGGATTATGTCTACAGATATCTTGTCTAGGTTTTATTAGTACTGCTCACTTATTGCTTGCCCTGTTTTTACTGAAGCTTATGGCCACATCATATTGAAACATCAGTTCCTGTACAATCATGAAAGTTAAGCAATGTTGAGCCTGGTTAGTACCTAGATGGGTGAGCACTTGGGAATACCAGGTACTGTCAGCTTGGATGTGCAGGTGATGTAATGTAGTGTTTCTCAAAATGGGCTATGGCAAATTTCAGGTGGGCCACAGAAATTTTATAATTTTTACTGCTTACACTATAATAATTTCATGGGCCACAGAAACATTCTGGATTCAAAGTGGGCCATGAGCCAAAAAAGGTTGGGAGCCACTGGTGTAACAGATACTGTCAATCAGAGAGCCACATTCCAATTCCTGTTGGGTTCGTTATATTAATTTACATAAGAACTTAGGAAAGGTATGCATCCAGCTCTCCTACCTCCAGCTATGGATTAATTAGTAAGACATATATCCCTAGAGCATTATTATCTCCCTCTCGACTCCCCAAAATTCTTACAGTAAAAATTTAAATAACCTATAAAGAGTTGTTGATAAGCCAAAGAAAACAAAACATCATTTATTTAAATAATTCTGTAGTTATATAAATTTGTTTTCAGTTCCACTTGACTCATCTGTAGTAATGTGAAATGGCAGATGATAACGATGGTTATAACAAACCTACAAAACACTGATGGAAGTAAGATCATTACTAATGCTGTCAGGCTTAAAATTCCGTTAAAACTTTTAAAAATTAATTAATATCTGCTTTTGAAAAAGAAAAGAAGTTATTTTTAGAAACAAAGATTATGTTTGTTTTCTTTCAAAGTAAACACACTGATATTTTTCTGCTAGCCTAGAACTGATTTTTTTTTTAAGTATGAAAGATGAGACAGGCAAAGCAATTTTGGAGTCACATCTAGATATTTGGGAATATTCTCAATTTGAGATCATCTAAGCAGGCTGGGTTACCTGATCTGAAATTATTTTTAACTGGGCCCCACCTGCAAGGTTATGCACTGATTTTTATCAACCTGTCACCATATTACACACATTTGGCTGGGATGCATGTGCATACAGCCAAATGTGAGCAAAAAAAAAAAAAATCTTCATCATACCATAATTTTTTTTCCTTGTTACAGATACCAGTTTTGTAAAATGTCATCTGATATGGAAGTATGTAGAAAGCAGAAGTCTATCACTGAATTCTACCATGTGAAAACAACTGAAGCCTGATATTTCTCAGCACTTGCTAAATGTTTTCAGAGACTAAAGAGTGTATGTAAGCACAGTTAACTGATGAGTTTTAGCAGTAGTGAGAGTAATGTATATAACAAACTACATTCTGGATGACCCTGCACAGCAAACAATTGAAAAATCTCATGTTCTTGGTGAAAATGTGGTGGTAATTATGTGGAAAAATAATGATTTATATCAGAAACCTTCCTCTATTGCACACTGTTATAATGCCTCGTCTATCTGTTATAGTTTCTGTGAAAATAAACAGGACACATTATTTTGGAAGCATCTCTTGTATGTGAGAAAGCCAACGTACTCAAAATATTCAAAATCATTGGTTATGTTAGTTGCTTTGATGTGTGCCTTTCAAATAGGCAAGAAAAAATAAACACTACTGCACTTTATTGACATGATTCATTTTTTTTTTAAGTAAAATAATGAGTAATGAAATATAGAGAGTTTACATGAATGTATGATCATAGGGAAAGCTAAATTAATGACTTTATTGAAAGCAGGTCTTCATTGAAAGAAGACGAAACTTTGTTTACGGTGACACCAAATGTTGCTGCACTCCTCTTAGACTAAAAGAAGTGGCAATGATATTTTGCAAATGTAAATTTTATATTTTTATTTTTATATAACTGAATTAACAAGAGAGAGAGAAAATGCAGTAGTATACACGAAAGTGAAAGTAGATATGTGTTCAAAAAGAGAGAGAAGAGTAAGAAGACAGGGAGTGTGCCATTTTTATAACTGCTTAACAGAATCTTCTAATGACATCTTGGCAAAGCCATGTGGGGATATCCCGCAGAAGGAAGTCCACTACCACAAGCATCGTACAAAGAACCAAACGATTGATTCTCACAGGTACTGCACCCAATTTGACCAATTAAAAGTGACAGCAAGTCAAGAAAAACATAATATTCTATCAGGATAACTTGAAACCAGTTTTCTTTAAAGGTGACCAGGTAAAAATCATTACACCTTGGCTAAACAGTTTTCACTTGTCTCTTATATTCAACAAGTGTTGCACTTTTAATTTATCTGTGTCACTGTCATAATAGAAAATCTGTGAAGGAAAAAAAAAATATCTGAAGACTGCCATAGGTACCAAGAGCAGTTCTTTCATCAGAAAGAGAAAGAAAGTTGTGGGTGGATGGAATCATGGTACTGCCTGAAAGATGGCAGATGAAAGTGGAGCAAAATGGCAATGTCATCAATTACAAAATGCTTTCAGTGTTTAAACCGTTTCAAAATTATTGCCTGTTGGTCCCAATCTTAATTGGGGAATGACTGCAAAATACATTTCCTGATGTAATGGAATAACCTGTCACCCCCATCTGTGACTACACTACAGGTATTATAAGTATCTGTAAGTTAACGGACTACAGAATCTAGCTGGGATCTGTTGAGTATGACTAAAACTTACAAAAGAACTACCGACCTTCCAATAGTAGCACTCACTACTGGATTAACTTGCAATGAGCTTGTGCATAACTGTTACCTTTATTCTTATTGTACTGGTTTTTTACAATAAACTTTTACTTATTTTATCCACCGTGTTTTCAAGTATATATCCCTATTAGCACAAAATATAACATTCCCCCTCTGCAATTTATTAGCAAAACCAGAAAAATGCAAGCTGGGATTTCTTCATAGATAGGCCATTGAATCCTCGTCTGGCTTCTCTTGAAGTCAGAATGCTATTTTTGCTAACCCAAATCAGCTCTTGTGTGTCAACCGCAATTCTTAGGTTGTGAACTTTTTGCCTTATCACTGTTGCTTTGTTTGCGTATACTGTTTTATTTCTCAATATTATTTTTTGTTCTGTTCTTTTCTTGTTAATAACAAACTTTGTCAATTCTGTTTCCTGGGCAGTCCTGCCATTTACATTTAACCATGGCCACTTCCTCCATAGACTCAAAATGAACAGAATATAGAGTTAGATACTGTTTATTTATTTTTTTTTTTAAATCAATTCACTCCAAGCAAATCAATAATGTCACTAAGACACAAGAGGTGACTATACATGAAAGAAAATGAGAAAACTTTAGAAGGAATTGGAAATCTAATCCTAAACAGGAAACAAAGGATAAACCTCTACTCCTGTTCAAAAAACCAGGCAGAGGTGTGAACTGGATGATGCAAAGGAAATAACATTCCTAAATTAGTAATATAAATATGTGATATTAATCTGGCAAGGGTCGAAATGAAATACAGAATTAAAAACAAAAGAAAGGAAAAAATATATTCCAATGTAAATTGATTCCTAATAATGTATGCACATTCATCATTTGCCAACATTTTTAAGATGGCTAACAGCCAAAAACAGCATTAAAAATACCTTTAAGTATTTACAAACAGACATCAAATGGGAGTTGGGGCCTATGTCCAGAATTGTTAGAGACAAACTCCAAAGCATCAAGTGGAGATTTGCGGGGCCCTTAGAGATTGCTCAGAACAGTTTTTAGCACTTTTTAAGTGATGTTTTGCAACAAGATCTTGCCAAGTCTAATACAAAAGGCTTTTCCTGATCAAGTGAGGCTTGCCAAATATTTCAATAGATTAAGTGATAATACTGTAATACAAATCGCTTGTGAATAAACTGCTTTCATTCTTATTCTGTTATTTTTATGTATGTTTTTGTACTCTTGTAAAGGATACACATCCAATTCATTTTAATCTGTATTTTACTTGCCATGCAGGAACAATTTACTCACCTACAGACATCAACACCTATAATGAAAGATGTAAAATCTTTCCAGTTCACAAATGTTTACTAATGTCTATCTGACAGACTAATAACAATTCAGTATTTTTTTTTTAACTGATCATCTCTCTTAAAATTTTCTTTTATGTGCTATGCCCTTTTAGGTAGTGGGCGAAAATGGCTCTCCACAGCTTCCTGTTTTTTGTAGCTCTAAGTAAGGTTTGTTTGTTTTTTTTGTTTTTTTTGCTATCCCTCCTAATACCTGTCCTGCCAACAATTTACACAAGCTTGTTAGATTATTCACTGCTTCCCTCTGTCCTTCTTGCCTTCAATATGCCCTGTTAGTGTCAAATTCTCCAAGCCCTCTTTCCTAGTACCCTAGATATTTCAATTTCTTATTCTAAGTTTCTTAGTGTTTCCATTTTCCTTAAAACTTCCTCATTACTCACATGTTCTGCCCATGGGATTCTCAGCATCCTTCTGTAGAACAACATAGTCTCTTCTTCATCTGTAGGGAAATTGTCCAATATTCACTGCCATATAAGAGAGGACCAATATTACATAACAGTTCGGCACTTTCCTTTGTTTCTAACAAAATTTTCCTGTCTTTTTTAATACTTTGCTTAGCTTTTAGAAGGCATTTTTTGCTATTCCAATGTCTCTTTTGATTTTGGTATCACATTTTCAATCCTAGGCAGAGTATTATGAGACAGGATAATTTCAGTGGTAACAAAGAAAAGAGTACTGAACTGCTATGTGACATCTGTCCTCCTTTATGGAGGCAATGGAGGTATGGTTCTACAGAAGGATGCTAAGGATACCAAACATGTGCGCAACAATGAGGTTTTGGAGAGGATGCAAACAAGGAGGAAGCTTATACTTAACATCAGGAAGGGGTAGCTGAAATATCTGGGACACATGAGAAAGGGGGGCTTGGAGAATTTGATACTCACAGAATGCATAGAGGGAAAGAGAGACAAAGGAAAGCAATGCGTGACATACTTATCAGGCTTAAGCAAGTGGATGACAGAACAGGGTTTGGGAGAAGTAGCAAAAGGACAAAACATATTGAGAACTCCAAGGAATAGGGAAAAGTGGAGAGCTATGATCACCTATATCCTGAAGGGACACAGCACATAAAAGAAGAAGACACTTCCTAGAAATCTAAATTTTCATACTTTCTCAATTCTGATATTTCCAATTCATAATTTGTAT